TGCTTAGAAATTGTTAACAGATTTCAATTGTTGAACCATCTAATTTCTATCACACAGAAATTGAACATCATACCAACTTTGAAGATGTTTGAATTCTTCCTTTCCCACCCTGGTGTACAGTGAGAATTTTGGTTTCTTTAAAAACATAGAAATGTTATGGGAATATGTTTTTGTTTTAACCCCAGGTGTGGGAAACGGGGCTGCTTCAGATTGTCCACAGCAGCAGACTATGATTTGCCTCGTGCTCTGGCAGGGAGCTATTGAAAAGGTATAAAAATGTGACAGACTAGAGAGGGGCAGCCTCTGCTTCTGCTCCTGCTGCTGCTGCTGCTCCTCCTCCTTCTGCTGCTCCTCTAGCAAACGCTGCTGCTGCTCCTGCTGCTGCTGTTGTTGGTTGGAGATATCCCGACAACCAAGATCAAACTTTCACCATGGAACCTGATGCCCCTGATAAGCAGGAAGTAGTCTAATGTTATCGATGAGCGTTTCCCCTTTAACCTTTCTTGTCTACCGAGTGTTGGTGAGTTGGAAGGGATAGGGATGGAGTAGGGTGGCAGAAAAAAAGGAATGTATAAAATAGCCAAAAGCCTGACTGTGATGGTGTTAATATGAGGACCTAAAATTTGGAGTTTTCTCTATAAGCTTTATTTTTATAACAAATGACAATTCAAACTTTGGGTCCCTATGATTTATAACTTTATTGGCTCATGAAAGTATGAGTGCAGAGAAAATGTACTTAAAGCTCCAAGTTTGTTTGTTCAGTACAGTCTTACTAAGACATGGCCTCTGAGCTCTGCTTTCTTCACTGTCAACTCTATTCTCAGGGACTCAGTTTCTTTTGGTTGTCAAAAAATGAGCAATGATGTGCTGTAGGGCTAAATGGTCAGCACTCCACGCCTCTTTCATGAGAATCCTAACAAAAGTTCCGGGGAGAGTTTCCAGGTCAGGTTTGGGTCACTGGCACATGGCTGAAGCAATGCTGACAAGAGGTTTCCATCCTGAAGAGGCTCTGAGGTGTGATGGAGAGGGTTAGGGAATGGGTCACCCTCAATAAAAAAAAATATATATATTAATATATATATATATATATATATATATATATATATATATATATATATA